ATTTAAAAAATACGTGGTATCACCAAACTTTAAAAGTATAAATATGGTGAAGTAGCCCTCACGTGTTACCACAACATGTTGCTCATTGAATTTATCTGACATAGCGAATATAAAATAATTCATTATTTAAATGTGTGCAATAAACTATTTTTTTTATCAAATAGAACTGAAAGCTAGACATTATCATTGTTGTTATTCTTAAAATGTGTGAAAAACTGAATTGTCTGTTGATACATTTAAGAAAATGACTAACGTTTAACCAATCAGAAAATTCCATTCCATTTTTTGCTCATCCCGTTCGAACGGATCGTCGTTGAATGCTCTATCGACAGTGACTTTCCTCGTGTTTCAAACTATCCGTATGCTAAGCTTCATCGATTTCATTTGGATTATTTGGGAGTCTGTAAAGGACATACACAGAGACATTCATTTTTATAGATTAGATAGATTCACATACAATCGTATTAGGCTGTGGTAAATAAAATAAAGCTATTAGTCCCACCTTCTAATAAATTGGTTTTAAAATAATTCGGATGCGTGTGTTCTTTTTTCATTCTGAAAATATCACTTACCTGGTTCTTCCACTAAGTTTTTGAATGAATATAACTCAAATAATTTACTTCTTTTAACTTAATGTTATATGTTGTAATCTTCGGTGGCTTTACGTCATAGAAGTAAGAACAGCTATTTGTTTGTATTTCATACCAATGGAATAAGGATAAAATGCATTTACCGTCTCTTGGTACGATTCTATTGTTCGCGACCGATTCATGATAGTTAAAATTTAGCACTATTAAGTGATTTTCTCGGGTACATCGAGATACGTGTCGGGTACATCTCGGGGTTTCCTTCGAGGGGCCTTAAAAAATTTAATTCCTAAGTATAGGTATTAAAACTGATAGGTGCAGTTTTAATAATAACCGAATATATCAATATATTTTATACCTACATAAGTGTATTTGGTACTTATTACATAACCCTTAAACATTTGAGTTTATACGTATTTGTCAGTAGCCACCGTCTAAAACCACCTTAATTAAAAAAAGGAAAAACAAACAGAACTTGATAAGGATTTTGGAGCAAGACCATTTCTCTATCTGACCTATGATTTACTGTTAAAATAATTAACAGTGGCGATGGAAAAAAGTTATTTTAATTCTAATTCCTTAAAATATTAATACACTATCTTAGCTACCACTGGAAAAAAAAATATTCTGAAATTGCGAAAAACTCGTTGTTAAATTCTTATCAAAACCAAATCACCAATTACCATAATACCAGTAATACATATTACAGTCAGAGATACATATGGATTAAGCGTCATCTGTAAATGGCGATATTTTAATGTTTTCTTAAGCGAACTTCCCGTTAGTCTTTCTTCCATGGGCTTGGCTTTTCAGCAGATAGTTTATTTTACATTATTTCAATTAATACACATTATCAATACTAATTGAGTGTTTGTGTCAATAATAATATGCAGATTTTTTATGGTTACCCAAAGTGCTTTTCTCCTTTTTTTTGCTTTTTAGTACAGAAGTTACTTTTTTTATTTCAATTAATACATATTACCAACATTAATTCAGCATCATAGTCGTCAATGATAGTAGGACAACTTCTTACGGTTCTTCTAGACAAATAAATTCCTTTACTCCATATGTTTTTCTTTCTAGTATATTATTTATTTCTTTTATTTCAATATGCATATATTACCTTAAATAATTAAACATCATTGGCGTAATTAAGCCACGTTGGCGTCTAGTTTTTATGTTTCTCCTAAACGAATTAGTACCACTGCCCCATTAGTTTTCACTTTTGAATACATAAATATTTTTTTTTCTATTTCATTACAGTTGGTTTTAAATACGTATTTTTTTAGAAACACGTTTAAAAGAATTAATATAAATAAAATAAATCCGCGTAGCATCAGACAAAGTATAAATTTGATGACGTAAACCACGCGTGCTACCACTTAAGGTTCATTGAATTCCACTTAAGGATCTAACAAAGCGAACATAAAATAATTAAATATTTAAATACCTGTACGTGCAAAAAACTATTTTTTGCTCAAACAGAGCTATAAGCTAGCAATTATCACTGATGTTATCTTTAAAATATATGAAAGCTGAATCTCTAAATTTAACCAATCAGGAAATTCAATTTCGTTTTTCGCTCATCCTGCAAGAACGATTCGTCGCAGAATGTTCTAATATCGACGGTGACCTTCCTCGTGCTTGAAGCAATCTGTATACTAAATTTCATCTCCTTCTCTCGGATGGTTTAGGAGTCTATAAAGGACGCACACAAAGACATTCATTTTTATATATATAGATTACCAAGATTAAATAAGTATCAAAGGCGTCACTAACAGTATGGCGAATATTTACTTTTCTCCTAAAAGTTTTAGTGCCATTAATTTCGCTTTTTACCACTAACTTTTCTTTTTTGCTTCTTTTCGTTGATTTTAAAATATCTAATTTTAAATAAACTGAATCTAAAAAGGTTACAATAGGGGGCCCCTCTCATTTTCGAAGAGGCTCTCATTTTTGGGGATTTGTAATTAAAGGAATAAGTATGTAAATAAACCAAGAACCAACCACAAAAAGGTAAATAAAAGTTGTGGTAACTTGCATCTCGTTTACAGTTACAGATTTAGAGGCTCTAATGTAGAATCGAGGGGGGGGGCTTAGTTTGGCGATGATTTTCTTTCAGTTTAGCAGAAATCCCATTTCTCGTTTTTTTATGATATAGTACTATGCAGTCTGTGCTTTCAATGATGTCAACGAAGGTAACATCATTGAAAGCACAGACCGCAACTAATTATGGCCAAGTTGGGGATAAGTTAAAGAAGCGTTAGGGTTATTTTTTTAATTGTATGCTTTAGCGCGTTTGCAAATAGGCCATGTTTGTTGCAAATAGACCATGAATATTGTGTCTCGTTAGCAAAAACAGCCGAAGAGGTTAATATAATATTTTGGCACGTTTGTGTATATTGGAATGGTAGTTTGGCGATTGAAACGACGACAATCGCAAATCATTTTTGAAATTGTTGAGATAGCACATTTTTATTTTTGTGCTGCCCTAAGAGGAAGAAAAATTTTAGTTCACAATAACTTCACTACACTCAGTGGCGTGCAAATTTTTTTTTCTGACTAGGGGGTAAACCAATGCAATGTCATCAATCCGATTTAATATTTCAAAATTAGTTGTATTATTTTAATATTGTAATTTATCTAATTGTAATTATCTAAACCATTTCCATTGTTTAGGACGACTATGCTTCAGCTATTACATTCACACCAATTTAGTTAACAAAAATTATTTATCAATCGGAAACAAATTAAAAAGAATAAAAGTGTATTAAAATATAAAAAAAAATTAATTAATGAATTTTGTAATTTTACTCCTTTAAATTTGTGAATACTGAGCAATAAATTTTATAGATACATTTTAATCATAATGACATTAAATGGTTTTTCGCTCCTCAAAAACATTGAAATAAGAATAATTTATGATCAGCATTTTGATTCTGGCAAAGATTGGAATTTAATCATGAATATAAATTTTCAGTATACAAAAAAGAAAAATTAGCATTATCATATTAATTTAATTTTAATGATTATAAAAACATTAAAATAAATGAAGGACGCAAAAGAGATTGATTTCTGAAATTGGATCTTATTTTAAAATGATTCTGAATTTTAACAAGTCTTCTGATTTTTCTGGTTTAGTCCAAGGTAAAAATAATAAATATATAAAAAGAAAAAAATATCTAGACAATTTAAAATATTTAAATATGCAGTAATTCAATGAAGTAGAATTAACTTTATCATATTAATTAAGTTTTCATGATAAAGGTGATAAAATTAAGGATGAAAAAATTAAAACAAATGAAGGAATTAATTTTCATTCAAAATGACTTTTAATTTTAACAAGTCTTCCGATTTCTCTGCTTTAATCCAAGGTAAAAGTTACGTGTACATAAACGGAATATATATATATATAAGCACAAATACCAAAATAATATGAAATTGAAAACTATTAATGTTAAAAACCAAAAGTCTTCCTCAGAATTGAGTAAATAATTTATCTCAATGGCACCTTTGATAGAAAATAAATTAAATTAACAGCTTTTTCAAAATCAAACCGTCTCATATTTGCTATTATTAATTATGTGAGCCAATGATTTCGATTTTTTTGAGTTTTTCCTCAAAGTAGAAAGAGTTTTAACTGCTATAAATTTCTTTAAGTTTAAAGAATACCCAGATCCTAAACTGTAAACAATACATTTTAAATTGAAAAATTTATGCACACAATTATAAAATTCGTATATTTAAAGATAGTTCCATACAAAAAATAAATGTTAGAAAATTTTTATTATTTTTTATTGTTTTATTTCGTAATAGTCAGAGAAATTTTAAGCAGGTGTAAAAAAAATTTTTTACACCATTTGAAAGTATCTAATTTTGCATGGCAAATACAAAATTTGAGCGAAATCGTTTGAACATTTCCTCCAGAAATCAAATTTTATAGAAGTCGTAAATTTGCAAAATTTTTTTATTTTACTTTAGATACTTTGAAATGATGTAAAAAATTAGTTACCTTACAAATCAAAATGTGTTCAACTATTATTAAGTAAAATAATCATTATTAATTATTTTCTGCATTGAATTACTTTTGGATAAACGAATTTTATAATTGTGTGCGAAAACTTTTCAGTTAACTTAAAAAATTCACAAAATATAACGAAATTCACAAAAAAAAAATTTAACATTAGAGGGTCGAAACTTTGTATCACTTTCCTGACCTAACTATGGGATCCATATTTTCAGTTTGCTACTCCTTATATATGGGGGTCAGATCAGTGGCGTACGCAGAATTTTTTCAAGGATTTTTTTGTTCATAATTTTCAGAAATTACAAAAAGAAATTCGAGTATGTAATAAAGCACTATTACTTCCCTAATTTAGACAGCTAGACAATTTTGACTTTTTATTTCGACAACATTGTTTAGTTAAATTTTGTTTTTATTTTTTAAGTTTAAGAATATAATTTTTTTTATAATAAGAGGTAAAATATTTTATTTTTATTAAAAAGTAGGAATAAATCAAGCCAGAAAAAACTACTCATACTGTAACAGCTACCTAAATAATAACCATATAAATGTGAATATTCCATAGAAAACCAATGAATTTAACTAAAAAATGACTTACCAACAAATAGGGAATTAAACCAGTATACAAACACGCTAAAAATTTATTGATTTATACTGTAATATCCAAACGACGGGGTTTTTTTGCAAGTTCGTTTAAAATGTCTTCGACAGCTGGGGTAAATTTTCTATGAATGCTTAAGAGCGCCAATCCATTCATTCTATTATTTCCCGTTGAGTTGCGTAAATAAGTCTTCAAACGGCGCAAAGTCGAAAAGGATCTTTCGTTTGCACTCGTTGAAACAGGTAGAACGACCAATATTTCTAGGAGTTTGAAAATGTTTGGTGTTATATCTTTATTGCACATTCCAAGAGCATCCGCCGCAGTTTTTGGAACACTACCTCCGTCTTCACTAATCCTTTTTAATCTTTTATACCAGAGTTTTAGTTCAGACTTAAGGCTTTCTTTACAGGTATCCAAATCTCCAGCGTAAAATTCCACTAATGCTTCAAAAGCCTTTATGTTTGAAGGTTGGCAAATGAAAGGATCGGCAGGTAGAAGACACTGAAATCCTTTCAAAATATCACGATGCGATACAAATCTTAAGTTTAATTGTGTTATAAAATTTTCTATAAATGGAATAAAAACACTAACTCTGAAATATGTTTCCGGTGTCGATGAGGGAAAATTATCGCGATTTTTCTGTCTTCCTGTTATTCTAGGGATTTGCATGGAAGTGGAAGATCCAATGCTTGTTAGCATAAGAGAAGAAGAGCTGAATATTTCAGAGAATGTTTCAGTGGCATTTTCACGCATTAATTTTAGATCTTTAATGACATCTTCTGCAAGACTCACTGCCTCTATCAAATCTATGCTTGTTTTTTGTAGGTATCTACAGAGATGGATTGTTATGGTGAAAACTTTGTAAATGCACAAAAGAGATATTACGAACTGGCAATTAGATACTGTGCACAGTAAAGAATTAGCCTGGGTAGCTGATTCCTTATCCTTCCATTCTGATATTTTTTGTAGTGTTTCGGCGATAGGCTCGAAAAGTTCCACCACAGCGGTTACTGAGTCGTATCTTTCCATCCAACGGGTTGCACATAGCTGTTTAATTTTCTCCCTCTTAGAGCTGGTTTCCATCTCCTCTATTGCTGAAGATAGGACATACTGTCTTTTTGGCGTATTTAAAAAGTCGTATAATGTTTTAATTGTCCCTAAGCAATTTCTAATGCCAGTTATTTCGCATGCATTTGATACAGCCAAATTGAGGCTATGAGCAGAGCAATGTACATAGAGTGCTGATGGGACAATACTTCTTACGTGGGCTTGTACACCATTAATTTTTCCACTCATTGATGCAGCACCATCGTACCCCTGTCCACGTAACTTTTTTATATCAACTTTCATAGACTGTAATTGGTCTAATATTGTTGTTGCTATTGCTTTTCCGGTTAAGTCATGCACCGGAATGAATTGCAAAAACTGTTCGGTGATGTTAAAATTTTCTTTATCGACATATCGAACGCATAACGATAATTGCTCTATACCTGCAATATCAGTTGTTTCATCTGCAAGAATGGAAAAGCAAGTTGCATCATTAATCTTGCTGACTAGTTTTTGCAGGATTAAAATATTGCAAACCTCAATAACTTCGTTCTGAAATCGAGGGCTGGTATACTGAGCATTTTTTCTGCTTGACTCTAAAATGTTCTTAAGAGTCGAATCGTTCTTACTCCGGAAACGAAGCAATGCCCGAAAATTTCCGTCGTTCTCTTCACCTGGTTGTTCAGCAATTATTCCCGAATCCTTATGTCCTCTTAGAGCGAGACCTTGATTTCCACAAAATAGGATGGTTTCAATGATTGGAGTAATGTTTTTTCTATTTTCTAATTTTCTTCTGCTTGCTGCACTGTCAACTTGTTCATCCACAGGTTTCATCTTTCCAAATAAAATATCGTTTAATGTCCCAGCAGTTTCGATCGATTTTTTGTGATAAAGACATTTCTCGTGTTCAGAAAATCGCTCTACAGCATTTTTCCAGTTGTCAAATTTTACATTGCACAGTTGGCCTAAAGGTTGCTTTCCAGAACCGGCACCACTTGGGGCGAAAAGTACACAAAATTTGCAAAAAGCACCACCCTTAACCTCTGAATATGCAAGCCATTTCCAGCGATAAAGCCATTTGTACTGAAATTTCAATTTTCTTTTTCCTTTTTCAGGAAAAACAAATGCTGGATTGGGTTCCCAAACATTTTTAAGTATATCCAGTTTTTTATCCTCGCATGTATTATCTTCTGAAAAAAGTCCAATGTCATATGGGTGGGAAGTAACACTTTGAGGGCCGCTTTCACATTCATCAGATTCTGTTACGCTAGAAACGTTTTCTTCAACGGAAGTATCACATTTCTGTTCAACAGAAAAACTTACATTGGTACTAGATGCTGTCACCTCACTAATTTCAGGTCGTGATTTTTTCTCAAAGTAATTAAAAATTGTTAAATTCTTGCGTTTAGACATCCTAAAGATCCAAGAACAGCAAAAATATATACATATATATTGGCACAGAAATATCCACTAAGCTACGATCTCAAAGTTTCGAGCTGGAATGAATAACTTCAACGAGCACAGAGTCTCCAAAACAAAACAGATTTAGAAACAAGCTCCGAAGGACAAGCGGCAGAGATAACTCTTAGTCTGACTAAAATCGAAAATAAATGTAACCCCCTTTCATATAATTTTTTTTAACCGCATCTACAAAATTCTCGAATTGTCTCAAAGACGACAGAACGTCTAGGATTCCAGACCTCGCGAATGCCAGCCAGTCTCGAAAACTATCGCGACTGGCAGGTCAGAAAGGAACCAGTGATCGGGGCTCGCCCGTAACAGTATCACGTGAATTTGGTTTCAAAAATACAACCCTATTATAGTAAATGTTTTATCAGTATTCTGAGAAATACCGTGAGAAAAAAAAAGTAGGCATAAGGCAAATAAAAATATATAGTCTTAAAAAATAATAACCCGCATAATTTCTACTAAAATTTTTATTTTTGTCTGTATTATTTTGTAAATTCACTTTGTCTGAGCTCAAGCGGGGGGGGGTTTAAACCCCTAAACCCCCCCCCCCTTGCGTACACCCCTGGGTCAGATATCTGAATCCATTGAAAAAAGGGTACATTTATTCAGAGGAAGTGCGCTTTTGTGTCTGGTATCGTAAACTAAATAATTTCTGCATTAATTAATTAGCAGATTTGAGATAACAGTTTCAAACCATTAAGATGGAGTCCTAGAACGTGAAGATTCGATTGTTAGATCGAAAGCTATTCTGGGTGGTAGTTTTTTTTTAGGTGCTTTTTTTACATATATTTTTCCAAATTTTCCAAAAAAAGAAGCATTTTTTCAAACATTATTAACACATTTAAGTCAGGCAACATATCATTCTTTAAAACAATAGCATATTTTATATGATGATTTTGCTACACCACAATAAACATTCCGAGAGTGTCAATATATACAACTGATTTTTAAGAGAAATAATACATGCATATAAATGTTTCTTCTCACTTAAAGTATAGTTTTTATCATTTATTTAAAGTATTTCATTATTTTTGGAACTTATTTTTCAGTACCTTTGCTTTGAAAACAAATACTTCTTTTGTCAATGCAATTTGTTTACTATTACTATACAGGGATCTGTCTAGGTTTTTCTGAAAGGTACCTATTTTGTGAAAATTTAGACATCATTTGTGAAAAATTAAAAATTATATTAAAAACTCAATACAAAAACATGGTTAAAAATATAGATTTATCGTTTCTTAAGGGATACAAAAGCAAAATTTTAAGAAAAAGTATTTTGTGAAACTACCGTTTTTCCTAAAGTTGAATTTGTGAAACTACCGTTTTACCTGAAATTGAATTTGAGAAGGTACCGCTAAACGGTAGTAAATTCGGCCTGGACAGACCCCTGCTATAGTAATACTATTAATAGTATGTATACTTATAATAAAGCTAATAGTAAGTAGTCACTATCCAACCGCCTTTTTTTACACTAAAATGCGTGAAAAATAGCATTTGTTGTAAGCTTTGGTAATTCCCGTTTACTTTATTTTATTTTTTTACTTTCAGCTTTAAAGAAGAAAAAAAAAATATTAAAAGAAAATAAGAATAAATAAAATTATCATAAAATAGAAATTTTCAGAGATAATTAATTTTTTCTTCTTATGATCATTGTTTAAAGTAAAAATCGAGAAACAATTCGCGAAAGTAGCACTTAAAATTGCAATAAGTTTCAAAAGAAATTGAATTTCGAAAAAACTCAATGCTGAGCTATTTGCTAACTCTTAGAGCATGTTCAATTCTCATCGCTGGAGTTCTGTAGATTGCAGAGTGCCCCGTGTGGTATTACAAGTTTTAAACTTTCATGACTGATTATTATTTTTTATTCCTCTTTGTCAATTTTTCTATATACCTTCATAAGTTTCTAAGAAATAAAGATAACATGCGGCAAAACGAAACATCGAACACTCCAAACAACTCCGGTTCATTTACTATTTTCGAAAATAGAGTGATACTTTAAGAATTTACTTACAATTAGAAAATACAATAGAGTACGGAAAATTCAGGAACGCGTGTTCTGCAGTATTCCCACAACTATTAATCTATTCCAAACAAAATCCCCTTCTTTATGAAGGTGTTACATCTTGAAGGAGGGAGGAAAAGCCCATGTAGGGGGAATCAATTGTGCGTGTGAAAGATTATTATTTTATTTTTTTTCAACACTACTTCTTTAAATTGAGCGTACAGCTGTTTTGAATGTTTAATACCTCATTCTATTGAAGGTCTAAAAAAATAAAAGAAGGGGGGAGGGTAATGTGGATAGGATATCTTGAGTGAGTGAAAAGGGAGACACATATCGAATATGGAATTTAGTAATATTAATAATTTTGAATTACAATTTATTTGAATAAAGAGGTAAGATTGTATTTTTGGATCAAAAGCGCATAAGCGATTAGAATAACTAACTTAATCAGCGAAAAACATGCAATGTACTCATTTTAATTTATTATTTTCAATTGTTTATTATATTCGATCAGTTCAAAACATGTTATTTATGAGGAACGAAAATGATTAAACAGCTATAAGAATTGGGAACTCTTAATGTAAAGTTTTCAGAAATAACTGTTCTGATGGGGTATTACGAATGTTTCAGATAAAAATTTTAAATTTTTTGAAGAAAAAAAGTCGATATTATGATAGATTTTATTCTGATTGATTTAACAACATAATATTGCTGATTCCTGCGAAAACTTCCGAAGTTATTAATTTTTTTCTGTAGCACACATTTTTTGTATCCACCATAACAGCATGCATTAAACTCATTTTTTTTTATCCAAACTGGTATTTTGAGCTTCTGTGTAAGACATTTTCAGTGTTGTTTCAGCTAGTTCATTAAAATTTTGTATATGCATAAATTATAATAGTTTTGCTTGAGTAAAGTAAAGTTTTGGAAATCGAGTAATGTTGTGATCATAATTAATTTTTTAAAAAAAATTTAGAAATTTAATTTTTGAAAGCTTAAGGAAATAAAAAAACAAAATATTTTTTTTCTTTATTTGTCGATGAGTTAAATTTAATCACAGGAGTACACATTTTCTTTGCTCTTGTAAATAATTTTTAATATTTTAACAATTTTTGTACTTTTAACTCTGCACAAAAGTGTTCACTTTTGAAAAAAAGTAGATATTTTAAAATTTTTCACTTTCCTCAAAATAATTAATTTTGAGACATTATAAACATAATTTAGCAACTTTTTAAATACCGTATAAATCAAAACAATCTTATATATGCCATACTTAAAACTTTATGCATACCTATTTGAAACAAATCAGGATTTTAATAATTATTTTAAACTAACTGTGTCCCGTCGAAAAATGTATATAGATATTTTGTGTTTACGTAAACCCATCCCGGAGACCTGCACCCCTTTCATTCTAAGAATCCTTGTCAAATATGGCAGAGAAAAAAAATTAAACACTTTTATGGCTAACAACTTAGTATGTCAGCGTAGAACACAGCGTAGAAACGCAACCGAATTCTTTTCACAAATTTCGGACTGATTGAATCAAAGGTAGAATTCGAAGCATTAAAACCTGTTTGATTGCCGAGGAAAGTTTGAGGATTTGAGTGGTTTGACAGATTTTGCCATCGCTTTTATTTTCTCCTCGATTGAATATTAACTTGTAAACACTAATTTCATTTTTTTAAATTCCATTTTTGGCAATGATTATTTGAATTTATATTAAGGGTAATTAATGTGGAACATAAATATATATTTTAATTTCTGTTTGCTTTTTTTTCTGTTATACATCTTGCAATGTAAAAGCCGGACGAAAATTCGTAATCTAAATATAAATATATTTATATAAAAAAAAATTTTAATGTTATTTTTTTTATAAATTTCTTGTGCTTTTTTATGTTATCAAATATTTGAAAAGAATTTTTATATTTTTGGTTCTCGCTTTGAAATAAAAGATACGTAAACAATGAAAATGTGAGAATTTAAACGCAAGTCAAGTAAAGTGTCAAGTGTCAAGTGTTTTTTTAGTAAAGACACACATGTTAGCAAAAACAGCACCTCACCAGGAACCAACATGCTGGAGCCTTTCTGTTTTCAAAACTCTGTATCTTCTTGTAGTTTTTTATTTTCTGAATTGTTCTTGTCGTTTTTCTACTTGACAAAGTCTTATATGCCGTACTTATATGAGTACACAAGCCTGTATGTGAACAGATAAATAAATTAAGTATGCACAGTAGCATTTTTTTCTATTATTATTATTATTTAATTTAATTTTTTATTGAAGATTTTTAGGAAGTTTCTTAGTAGTTATACAAACGTGTTACTAAAAGTTCCATAGTGAATATACTAAATGCATCTTAGCAAACATTCAAGTAAAGCACCTCTTACGTAACTTGTAACTAAAAATTTCTTAATTTAATTTACTATATTTTTTCATATAATTATTTACTTTTTAATGAAAGGAATTACATTTTCATCCTCGTAGTAAATGGCGCTAGTGAAACTATTCTGTTTAAAAGTTTGGAATGTATTCAACCATTATATGGTTCAAATTTGCTATAACTTTAACTTGGTACTTCTTAAACTTATTTACAGGATGCTGTGTAATGAAATATGAATCAATTTTACACCTTAAAATGGTTGCTTCAAATTTTCCCCCCATTATGGTTTCAGTTCTCAAGATTATGGTTCAGCATTGAAACAATTTCTAAAAGAGTTGGGAACAAATTGTTAACATCCTTGAAATTCGCTGTTTAAAAAATATTTAATTCCCTTAAGTACATTCAACATTAACGGTAGAGCTCTTTAGATTTATTTTTAAAAATTAAATCACACCTCTTATTATTTGTTCGATAGACAATTATTTTTTATCCCTTAAAAACCATACAATTTTTAATAGTTTTTTATCGTTGATTTAAAGTAAAATATTTATATTATACTATATATGAAATATAAAGTATTTTTTTTAAACTTTATTGACAGTTGTTATTTAAAATGATTCCAAGAAAATTTTAAAAATTAATTTAATTTCGCTCACTAAAGACACTCAAACACAATCACTAAACTCTTTAAATCAATAGGACTTGGAGCATCTTTTCAATTTTTGAAGATGAATTCAATGATCATTATTTGAGGGCTGCGTATTCTATTGCTAAATATGCCGTCATTTCTGTTTCTGAATCTACACATAAAATTCTGGTCGAATGGTCTCTAGTCTCTGCTTCGTATTCTGGTTGGAGATGTCCATCGCAGAAGTGGAAGTCAATAAATTAATCCCGCCCTCCATTCAACTACATATGAATATCTTTCTTGAATTAATTATAAAGTCACTGAGCAATGTTCTTTGGAATATTCGTGAGGAACTTTAGAGGAATTTGATGAAAGTTAAGATGTCATTGGCAAAGCTTAAATGTACAACTA